CATTTGTAATCATCAAAATTAAACGAAATAAATATGAGTTTGTATGTAATGTATGAATATAATATACAAGTTTCACTTTTTAAATGGAATTACTGAAATAAATCTACTTTTTCATGATATTCTAATTTTATGACCAGCACCTGTATCAGAGACATAGACATATCAGACAGAAAGAGACATATCAGAGACATATTGGAGATTTATCAGAGACAGACATATCAGAGACATAGACATGTCTGAGACATATTAGAGACATATCAGAGACAAAGAGACATATCAGAGACAGACATATCAGAGTCATATCAGAGACATACAGTATCAGAGACATATCAGACGCATATCAGACATACCAGAGACATATCAGACATATCAGAGTCATATTAGAGACATAGAGATATCAGAGACATGTCAGAGACATATCAGAGAAACATTAGAGATATAGAGAAATGTCAGACATATCAGACATATCAGATACATATCAGAGATATAGAGACATATCAGACATATCAGAAAAGTATCAGAGGCATAGACATCAGAGACATGTCAGAGACATATTAGAGATATAGAGACATGTCAGAGACAGACATTTCAGAGATATAGAGACATGTCAGAGACATTTCAGATATATCAGAGACATAGAGACATCAGAGACATGTCAGAGACATATCAGAGGTATAGAGGCATGTCAGAGACATATTAGAGACTTTTCAGAGATATAGAGACATCAGAGACATGTCAGACATTTCAGAGATATAGAGACATGTCAGAGACATATCAGGGACATATCATAGATATAGAGACATCAGAGACATATCAGAGGTATAGAGGCATGTCAGAGACATATTAGAGACTTTTCAGAGATATAGAGACATCAGAGACATGTCAGAGACATATCAGAGATATAGAGGCATGTCAGAGACATATCAGAGACAAATCAGAGATATAGAGACATGTCAGACATATAAATGTGAAACCCTAACTCATGGAGTGTCTGAGGCCTGGTTTTATAACAGACTGAAGCATCTTGGTGGAGTCTCATTTTAAAAAGTGTTTTTATTTTGTTGTGCTTCATTTGCAGGGCTCCACCTGGAGGGTCCATTCATCAGCGTGGAAAAGAGAGGAGCCCACCCTGAGAAGTACCTGCAGACCTTCCAGTCTAGAGGGATTGAGGACCTGATAGAGACCTACGGCAGTCTGAATCATGTTTCCATGGTAACACTGGCTCCTGAGCTAGCTGACAGCCAGTCAGTTGTCAGAGAGCTCTGCCAGAGGGGCATTACTGTGTCATTAGGTGAGGGAATTGTTCAACGTAAAGTTAGGAAATTATTATTGCCCCCCACTTCTCTGGTATTATTCTTGTTTACTGCAAGTTCAAGTTAATATTTGCTGGGCTGCAGGTCACTCAGTGGCGAACCTGTCGCAGGCTGAGGATGCTGTTCAGCACGGAGCCTCCTTTATCACTCACCTCTTCAATGCCATGTTGCCTGTAAGTTCAAGTGATCCTTTCTACCCACAATTAAACACATCTGCTTAAACAAGTTGCAGCTTTCCACTGAAGTGATCAGATGTGCTTTTTCATACATCAAAGAAAATAAGAAACACAAAAATAATGTTTCCACCATCAGTAAGTTTTTTAAACGGTTGATTACAGGAAAGTTTAGCTGCCTGTTTACCTCTGGATGAGTTCCTGTCTGATTCCAAAGATAACCATCCTTTTGTCTGGTTCAGTTCCACCACAGAGACCCGGGTATTGTGGGTCTCCTGACCAGTGATCAAGTTCCTGCCGGTAGGACCGTGTTTTATGGGATGATAGCTGATGGGATCCACACAAACCCGGCTGCTCTTCGGATTGCACATAGAGCTCACCCATCAGGTCTGTTAATGCTGTGAAGATCAGACTATTTCAATTAAAATAAGCAAAACAAAGTTACACAATCATTTCTGTAGTTGTTGTGAATCCTAGTTATTGTTAAAAACCTCAAAATCTATGGAGACCCAGAGGTGCAAATAAGGACACAAAATACATCAAAATAAAAAATACAAACTACAACCATGAAATGCAACAAAACAAACAAACAAAAATCCCACAAGATAACAAAATCAATTGAATAAAATAAACAAAATGAAACCAAACTCTCAACAACAAACCAAAAACACAGAAAATACTAAAAAAAATGTTTCATTAATACAATGTAGATTATTATTTATTTATTCAATTCAAT